TGAAGTAATTACAGCTCTAGGTGATAACAAAGGTGTACCTCACAAATATAATGCTGATTTTGAAAGAGGCAAGACACTCAATATGATTCCATTCATATAAAGTTCAAATTATAGCCCAGCTGGCATGGCTCAAGGGTTGAGTGTCCACCTGTGAACAAGGAGGTCAAGGTTCAATTCCCAGTCAGGCTCCATCCCCAGTAGGGGGCGTGCAGGAGGCAGCCAATCAATGATTCTCTCTCATCATTGATGTTTCTATTTCCCTCCCTCTCTCCCTTCCACTCTAAAATCAATAAAAATATATATTCTTTAAAAAACTAAATTATAATATTTAGGGTTACATACCTAGTTAGTAAGCTATAAAGAAAAGCAAAGAAATGAATAACTTAAAAACAGGATAGTGCTTTCCTTTAGGGAGAGAGGTCAATTCAGAAGAAAGGTGGGAGGAATTCTGGGGTGCTGGCAGAATTCCTTGACTCTGATGATTAATATTATCATATTATAATTATTTAATAAATGTACATGTGTTTCTATACTTTTCAATACAATTACAGCTCTAGGTAATTGTACGCCCAATTACCTATATTTTTAAAGGTGTACACCCATCAGTGTCATAAAAATAATCACTTTCATCCAGTATACAGTCAGGAGGTCAGTTTCAATTCAATACATAATTTTATGTTACTCCTTTTTTTCCCATTAATAACAACAGAAATCCAAACATTAAAAAAAAATAAGCCCTAGACAATGGAAACTAAGGAGAAAATAAACAAATGGGACTACATCAAAATAAAAAGCTTCTGCACAGCAAAAGAAACCACCAACAAAACAACAAGAGAGCCCACTACATGGGAGAACATATTTGCCAATGTTATATCCGATTAGAGTTTAATCTCCAACATTTATAGGGAATTCATACAACTTAACAAAAGGAAGATAAACAATCAATCAAAAAATGGGCAAAGAACCTAAATAGACACTTTTCAAAAGAGGACATATAGAAGGCTGAGAGACATATGAAAACATGCTCAAAGTCATTAATAATCCAAGACATGCAAATCAAAACAACGAGGCACCATCTCACACCTGTCAGAATGGCCATCATCAACAAATCAACAAATGACAAGTGCCAGCGAGGATGTGGATAAAAAGGAACCCTCTTGCACTGCTGGTGGGAATGCAGACTGGTGCAGCCACTGTGGAAAACAGTATGGAGATTCTTCAAAAAATTAAAAATGGAACTCCCATTTGACCCAGTAATCCCACTTCTAGGAATATATCCCAAGAAATCAGAACACACCTATCAGAAAGATATATGCACACCTAAGTTCATAGCAGCACAATTTACCATAGCTAAAATTTGGAAACAGCCTAAGTGCCCATCAGCAGATGAGTGGATTAAAAAACTGTGGTACATCTACACAATGGAATTTAAATTTTAAAAAATAATCCTATATAATAAAAGGCTAATATGCAAATCAACCAAATGGCTGAACAACTGGTCACTATGACGTGCACTGACCCACAGGGGGAGCGCTGCTCAACCAGAAGCCCTAAGCCAGGCTCACTGCTGGTGAGCGCAGTGGCGGTGGTGGGAGCCTCTCCTGCTTCCGTGGCAGTATTAAGAATGTCCAACTGCCGGCTTAGGACCGCTCCTAAGCCAGCAGTCAGACATCCCCCATGGGCTCCCAGACTGCGAGGGCGCAGGCCGGGGTGAGGGACCCCTACCCCCCTGAGTGCATGAATTTCGTGCACTGGGCCTCTAGTAAATAAATAAAAAATAAGCCTTAGCCCGTTTGGCTCAGTGGATAGAGCATGTTTGGATTTTTTTTAATGTTTGGATTTCTGTTGTTATTAATGGGAAAAAAAGGAGTAACATAAGGGTCTTGGGTCCAATTCCGGTCAAGGGCATAAACCTCGGTTGCAGGCTCCTCCCCAACCAGGGTCCTGGTCAGGGCTCATGCAGGAGGCAACCAATCAATGTGTTTTCTCTCACATAGCTATTTCTCAGTCTTTCCCTCTCTCTTCCACTCTCTCTAAAAATCAATGGAAAAATATCCTCGGGTAAGGATTAAAAATAATAAATAAAGTAAAAAGTTTAAGAGATATATATGTTTTCATTTATATGTCAAATAGTACATTAAAAACAGAAAACTGAAAATAGATAAGTCAGAGACTTAAAAAAATAGAAAATAGATTAAAAATAGGAAAGACCGATTTGTGTAGTGAACTGAGTAGAAAGAATACAAGTATATGATGGAAAAATGTTTCAAATAAACTAAGTACTCAAGATGATTGCCTGTTTATAATTTAATCTTTATAACAGTTACTAATTTCCATAAGTAAATGATGGTTACAATCAATTTTAGAAATAGCTTTCTACTTCATACAATACTAAGTTTTAATAGCTTTTTCCCCCACACAGAAGGAAGTTTATAAATTTAAAATTTCTAGCATATCTTGGAAAACAGAAACTTTCAGGAAAAAGAGAAAAAAACGGGTCAGATAAGTTTAAATTTTCTTTTAAATATTTGGCTGGGAGAGGACAATGGGGGAGGAGGGGGACATATATAATACTTTCAATAAAAAATTTAAAAGAAAAAAATCTCAGAGCCTTGGAAGCATAGACCAGTAAAATGAAAAGATACAAAGGATTCAAGCTCTTCAAATATCACACTGAAATAGTCATGAGGCCCATAAAAATTATCCTTGACAATTTTATAGTGTTTCAACTATATGGAGTCTCTTATTTTTCAGAAATTTTTCAATTGATATCTCACTACAGAAAAATATGTTACACTTTGCAGAAAGAGTCATTAAATAATTAAATCCCAGAGCATTAGCATGTCCACACAATCATTCTGTGCCATGGGAAAATAAGAAAATGGTTCACTATTTTCATAGGTCCCTTTTCCTGTCCCATCCTATAGTTTGCTCCTGAATTCTAAATATAATAACAGTAATTTCTACCATTTACTGAGCCCTTTTTATGTGCCTTATATTTACTATCTCCTTTAATTTTCACACATTTAAGAGCAGGTCTTACTGATCAGGAAAAGTGAGACATGAAACGATTAAGTAATTTGTCCAAACTCACAGGCTGCTATTGAGGGAGCCAAGATATGGTACAACTCCAGGGCTAGTGTTTTAACACTACAATGTTCTATTCAATAAAACACTTATACCATGAAAACTGCCTATAATCACCTACCACCTTCTAACCACCGGATTCCAGGTGCCTTGAGTAACTTATTTTTGCCTTGCCCAGATAACTGCATACTCAGAATTCTGCTAGGTGAAGAAATCAAAACAAACGTTTGGGGAAATCTATGATTCTCCAGCTAAGAAAATGGAGGTCCAGAGAAGTTAAGTGTTCTGTCCAAGACCCCAGAGCTGGTTTGTGACAGCCAACACTAAAGCACAATTCCCCAGAGTGATCTTCCCACCGCACTAAAAGCCCTTCCTTCCTACATACATCTAAACTGTAAACTCCCTTTGGAACCCATTCTCTATCCTCCACACAAGCTCTGAAGTTTACTTTGCCAACTTTCACAGCATACAATAGCTTCAATAGCACTCACATGAGGTAACATACATTCTTTCATTTCAACAAATACAGAGAGATACACTATGTGCTAAGGCAATTGATGAACCCAAATGTTTATCATAATTTTGGCCTCTGGTTTTATCATAAAAACATAAACATGCTAACTATAACATGTAACAGTGCCATAGTCGCCTTGTGAAGAATGTGTTCTGAAAGCACACAGAGAGTGTATGTTTCAGCCTGAGTAAAGAATGAGCAAGGCAAGGGGCTGTGAGATGCATCTGAGGCAGAGCAAAGGCAGAGGTGTGCTGGTGCTTAGAAAGGAGGGGGAAGTTCTATCATTTTTACCAATGGACATCCAAGTAAAAAACAACAGTACATATGGGGTCAGAAAACCTGAGTTCAAATCTAAACTGTGAGACGGACTAAATCTGACTTGTGTGACTTTGAACAATTTCTGACTCTCGGTGTCCTCATCTGTGAAATGTAGATACCACCGACCTGTCTACCTCACCGGACTTTCGTGGGCCGAATTATGTGAAAGTGCTTTAAAAACCGCAAAAAAACCTGTATCAACATTAGTTCTTTGTTTTCACGTGGATCTTTCCCCCAAACCTGTGTCTCATAAAAACCTCACCCTTCAGGATGAAAATATTCTAATGACATCATTCATATACCCTGATGGGGTAGTAAACAGCTAACACACTAATGCCTTCAGGTTGAAACATCAAGACTCTTTCTACTGAAACATACATACATACATACATACATACATACATAAAGTGTGTTGTTTTTAATTTCTTAAGCACTGGTATTGACTTCCAGTCAATGCTTCCTCTGCAACTAGTACTAAATGCAGATTTTCTTCTGGAAATTTTCTATCAGAAATTCCACTCCATTTTATAGTTCGTTGTGAAGCAACCAATTCAGGAATAGGGTGCGAGTAGCAATCACTGTGCTCTCGCCCCAAGACGTAGGTTATGTACTCCCTATAGACACAACCAAGCATATGCCCTGACTCTAAAAAAGAGACTGGTTTAGTGCAATCATACACATGATTGCAAACAGCTAGTGGACAAATAGAAAGCCACTGAAAAGTATAATGAGTTTCTATAATAAGTATGGATTTAAAATGCTTTGAAGGCCACAACCTGATCCCTGCTTTAAAGAGCTCCCCCCACTTCCTTTAAAGTTTGACAGAGCAGCCCGTAGAATAACCCCACCTCCCTTTAGCAATCACTCTTTAAAGTTCAACCTTAAACCCCAGTGTCTCGGCTGCTCCTTGGATGACAGCCTGGATAAAGTTCCGATGTACGTTTCCGAAGTCAAAGGATGGGCAAGAGACAGGAAAGGGACAAGGGGCGGGGAAGGGGGGAGCAGGGGGGGGTCCTCGCGCCGCTCCAGGACCGCGGCTGTTTTCTCTCACAAGAGCAACTTCCCGTTTTCTCCCTCTTACCTTGTACACTTTCCCAAAGGCTCCGTCGCCCAATTCTCCTATAATTTCCCAAAACTCCTCAGGGTTCAGGTCCCTCTTCACATGTTCGTACTGCTTCTTCTTCTTCTCGCTCCCCAACTTGAAGATCTTACGGAAATTGAAGAAGGACATTTTTCCTCCCAACAGAGTTCCTGGCACTTAAGGACTAAAACAACAATAAAAGGCAAAGTTTCTCCTCCCTCTTCTCCCGCGCGGGCTCTCCTGGCTCCCGCCGCTTCGGCTGGGCGTCCCGGGGAAGGCGGGCGCGACTCGGGCTCCGACCCACGGGGTGGGAGCGGGGGTGGGGGGGGCGCTGCGCGGCCGGTCCCTTCGCCGAGCCCGCCCGCGGCCGGCGGTGGGCGCCTTGTCCCCTTGTCGGTCCTAGGGGGGCGG